TGTGATATAGGCTTCTTAAAAATTCAGTATTAGAAATTTCAATCCATTAAGGCTCAATATTTCAAAAATTGTACAAATTAATGGGTTAAATTTAAATTGCAAAGGTTTTTTTAATTCTTTTCTTTAAAATGAATTATTCACATTTTCAATGGCCTAATACTAAAGGCACCTCAAGCTTAGAAAACAACAATGATAATTTTAATGAAATAACTTTAGATTCCTAAATTCACTCCATGGAACTTCAAAATCTCACATTAACTGATTCAGGCTATAAGTCCAATTCTGGCCAAAATTCTAATTCGGGCTGAAAATTGAATTCTTCAAATCACAATCTCTGCAGAACTTCAAAACCTCACATCACAAAACCTCTCACTTTAACGCTGATTCCTTGGCATTTTGAAGAAATAAAATTGATTTCCTCAATTCACAAAGCTTTGCAGATATTTTAAACTGAATTTAAAACAAAAATTTTTAAGTTTTTGTGATACTTTAAACTCAATATAAGTTAAAAACTTTTAAAATCACTAATTTTTTTTTTTTTTCAGTTATTATAAAATTTGAATTTTTAACTGTTTCCCCCCTCATCTCATAAACAAACCCCAATGTTGGACGTTCAACCACCAGATGAAAGGCAGATTTTCAATCCTAGGAATCAGGATGATCCCATGTAGAGCAAGTGTGGCCCGAGCTAGAAAGGTTTCAGACATGAATGGACAAAAAGAATTTGTTCTTTATTCATTTAGAAGAATAAGATTAAATAAGACATGATTATTTATGTGATTTTTCAAACTTTAACTGTAGTTTTATTTATTTATTATTTTCTTACCCCAAGCAATAAAGATAAAGCCACTAAGATGATTGACATTGACTTCAAATTTTTGGATATCGTAGTTGACAGGAAAACCAGAAGCTGAGACAGAGTTCCATGGGCAAGAAGTGTGAGAGAAGAAACCATTAGGATAGAACTCATACTTACACTTAGCAATTTCAAAAGTAAAATAATGAGACCTAACAGCCAATCTAGTATTGCGCTTAAATTTGAAAAGAATATTCTGTTTATTGTATATGCTTGTGTATTAGCAGATTTCATGTATAGTGCACCTCTTGAATGTTTTTGCATTAATTTTAACCCCTCCAGAAATAATTTACCCATTTATAGTGCAACTGCTCACCAAAAATGCATGATTTTTAATTTCTTCAAAAAAAATTACCTGTTTATAGTGCTTTCCCTACATTTTGTGTTAAAAAAAAAAAATGATCATAAAAACTCACACTATACTGGATTATATACGATAGTACTGTTTATGATAATGATTTATAGTTTATGAAATGACACAGTGCTTTTTAAATATCTTCCCCTGTAAAATAAAACAATTATACAGCGAGAAGACTAAAGGAGTAATCAAGATAGATAACAATTGACATTGCATAAAAAAAGTGATGTAACAATAATAATAGTCATCAATAATTTGCTTTATAAAATTGGCAATAGAAAATGTTTTATTTAATCTTTGAAGAAAATTACGTTTTAGTAGATTCTTACATTTTTTTTATTTCTATCAGCTTGAGAAAATTACCATAGCTTTTGTTGCATAAAGATTAAATATAATCATAAGTAAAGAGTTATTTCCCTTCCACCATTCATATTGCTTCCACAGCATTTTTATAGTAGAATTTTATATATAAATTTTTGTAGTATTTTTAAGGCCTTTGTTTCATAGTTGCTTTACATGGAAATGTCTTTGTTTAAGATATCTGATTAATATTTTAGTGATAAACTGTAAAGAAAGCCCTTTTTCTTCCAAGAATAAATGTAGATATTTGTATAGTTAATAATATTCTTTTGATTTCATTAATATTATCAGAAAGTGTTAAGTAAATTAGGTTCTTCTTCTAAGTGTTGTGTCATTGGCAATCAAGACTCTCCATAACTTCCTGTCCTTCATGGCTCTTAGCAAGGTTTGTCTTTTTGTGATCTCTGTTAATCCCTGTTCTGCCAACCATTTACACAAGCTTAAATAGATTATGTGCGGCTTTCCTCTCTCTCCCTTGTCTTTAACACGTCCTATGAGTGTCAAATTCTCCAAGCATCTTTCTTCAATTGCAGTTGTCCCCTTCTGATTCTAAAAGTAGATATGTTTGCCTATTGTTCATTTCACACTTCCTGGTCTTTTGAACAGGAGTATAGGTTTGTTCCTTGTTTCCTGTTTAGGATTGGGTTTCTCGTTCTTTCTGAAGTCTTTTTCACTTCCATTTTCACTAAAAATTCCTCAGCATTAACATAATCTGAAAAACTCATAGACATGGATATTTTTGTATTGATATTTCTTTCGATGTAGAATATTACATGAATAGGATTTATGAAGAAGATTCTTTCATTTTTTTTTTTTACTTCATAAAAAAATATTTAATTTTACTTTCCAATTTATATTTATCAATAATTTTAATTTATGTTAATAATTATAAATAAAGTTTTGAGACCTTATATAAACATGTTAAAATAGGAAATTTCTTTTAAACAGCATATCATCTATCCTGAAAATGTTGATGAAACTGAATGAAAATTGTTGAATGTGTTTGTAAAATACAATTTTAAAACTTTGACCATTGTTGTTATTTTTCTGACATAGAATAAAGATTATAATATTTTATTTCAGAGTTAACACTTTCACTTTTACATTGTTATAGCTGTGCTGGCCCATTTTGAGAAAAAACAAAATAAATGCCATTTATTGGAAATAAATGTCTATAAAGATGTTGACCCCAATCTCACCTGGGCACTGCCATTGTGGTTTCAATTAATTACTTTGTAGTACAGACTAAAATAAATGACACCCCAACACAATATAATAAAAATGTCACAAAATAAGTTGTATTGTATGCTACTAAGTGTCTATGCTGATTTGGATATGGTACTAAGCATGTGTTAGCTTATAACATAAACCTAGTAAACAACATTTCCCAGTGTCTTGAAAAAATATATTGACAGCAGTTAATGTAAGTTCTATAAAGGTTTATAAGTATTTCGACAGAAGCAGAAGTATTAATAGTAAAAGGATACAAACTGGGTTTTCTGAGTATAAAATCAGGAATTCAATAAAAGATTCAACTGAGAAGGTAAACAATTCTTCTCATAATGGTCATAACAGAATAAAAGGTACACTTAGATGTGGTGTAATGGTTAGCAAGCTTATCTCACAAGATCAGTTATCTAAGTAGTGAGTTTGATCCTCACTAGATGCTCCATACTTTTGGCCTTGTGCCACATCTAAGCTATGCTTAGAAAATCACCATAACAGTAAAAGATGCAAAAATGCATTGAAGTTTCTTTAAAGTCGAGATTCCTAAAAAGTTTCATTGGCAATAGACAATTTTTAAAATAAGATATTTTTCAACACATTGTTTCATTTTTGTGAACCAAGCCAAATATAGAAAATTAGACCAAAATCATCAACCAGGATGTCTCATGTAGTTCAGAGTTTTGTTCTGAATAACTGGCTGTTTTGAGAAGGCAGACTCTTAACAGATATCATTACTGCTAAATTTTCATGAAAATGGTGTTGCTTAGTCATGAATGAACCATAGCCCATCTGTTGTTGTAACTACAAGTATAGAAGCCTCGTGTTTATTCTGTGTTGAGAGGCACTGTAGGTGTTGCAATTTCCAGCCTTTGAGCTGAGATCAAAGTGTAGAATCTGCCTTCAGGCAGACAAACTACATTTTATCTCTCAGTTGTGTTTCTGTGTTTAGACAGAAACACAACACATAAATGAGGACTCCCTGGTCCTGGGGATTCCAACTCTGTGGGAGTGCAGAGACATTAATAAATAAAAATATAAAATAATACTCATAATAATAAATATCATAAATAAAACAAATAAAATTAAAAGTTTGTTTAAAATAAATAAAACCAAAATAATAAGTTATCCCAGCATGCAACTGTCATATAGAAATAAAGTGTTGTTGCTGACACTTGGGTTTGAACATGGATTGCTGGAGGTCAATCACAGTCAACCTCATCTTGAAATAATTAGATCACATGACGGGTAAAGGAAAAATATATATGTGGGAATTAGCAGCCTCTGACTGAGTATTGTTTGAAGGCACTACTATTGTTGTATCTGTGACTAGCAGTAGAGCCCGGCGTTGCCCCGGGATGTAACAGTAAGAGATAGATCAAATATCGACCATCATAAAGACTGAAAAATAAAATTGACAAAGATTATTGTTTAAGGTTGACGGACATACATGTCTTAATTAGTTTTTTTTTTGTTTTGTTTTGTTTTGTTTTTTAGTTTTTTTTATGAATTGGTCAAACCCAAACTCAAACAAAAACATTGTTTTCAATCGTTATGAGTCTACCGATTGAATAGAATTTTATTATAAACAATTGTCTTGTAAATGGAATTTTTAAAGCATTCTGAATGTAAAAATAAAGGAAAAAGTGTGCAAGACAATACGAAACACTATCTGCCAAAAAAAAAGTGATGTTTTGTTGAAATTGATTGAAAAATGTAGGAAATCCGATCCCATATATAAACGAACACACACACACACACACACACAAACAACCTAGGTTTTATAATAAGTATAACTCAATATGAGTTGTCCCCTTTTCATTCTTGCAATGCCTCTTAATTGTGTTTTCAAATTGATTTTGTGCAAAAACAATTGTGTTTTTCCAATTTTTGGCACTGTCAGAACCACCGTAAGGTAATTTTACGTAGTCCTGTCAAGTTTTGTTGAAATCGGTTGAAAAATGTAGGAAATCCAATCCAATATATAAACGAACAGGGTTTTATAATAAGTATGATGATATAAATATGAAATTGTTTACATCATCACCATTATCATCATCCTTGTCCTCATGATTTATGTGTTGTGTCCCTTTTAAAGGTAAATCATCATGACCTCCAGGGCTTCCAGTTGCTAGCCTAGCAAATAACTGTTAATTCCTTACCTTCCGACATTGTCCCTTTCTCTACCTTTCTTTCAAAGAGATGCCTTATGTAAATAACTCTTAATTCCTTCTCCTCCTCTCTATACGCTATCCAATATATAAATGTACAGACACACACACAACCTGGGTTTTATAATAAGTATGATTTACAAAGTCTCTCCTACAAACAGGCATTACAAAAGCAATAGAAAATTTTTCCTGTCTGAAAACTGATATTTTACACCAAAAAAAGCCAAACTCTCTCTCTTTGCTACCAACCCTGAAAAGATCAAGACATCCATCTCCTCTCCTCAGCACCATGATTGTCAGAGGATGAAGTGAATTTCTTCCTCTGTTATATGCAACCTTAAAACATAACTAAAATACATACACACACAAGTACACAGAAATAAATTAATGACCCAATCAAAGAAACTATAGACATAGTCTTGCAGAACATATACAATAACCCCTCATTCCAACCTCCTAAAATTAGACCAACTCCTGCAAAAACGTTTTTTATCCTGCATGACACAAGTAATTTTCCCAGCCACTATGGAAACATTTGTACACAAACTGATGGCATAACAATAGGTTTGGCTCTTGGACAGACCCTGTCTAATTTCTACATGTCTTGTGTAGAAAACAAAGTCTTCAATAATTCCACCAGCAATCTCCCCATAATATGTCAACGGCATCATATTAGCAAACAGCTTAGAAGAAATAAAAATACTGAAAGAAACCTTTGAGAATAACTTTGTCCTTGACTTTACTTATGAACTCAGTACTGAAAATAAAATTCCTTTCCTTGACATACTGGTCAATTCCAACAGTCATTAGTTTACCAGCTTTTTTTTTTTTTTTTTTTTGCAAAAACCCCACTAGCAGAATGTTATGTCATAAATAGGAAAGGTTGACACACATATAGAAAGTAAAAAGTGGTTTATTCTAGAGAATAATATGGTACACAGTTGAGAACACAGACCAATGTAATAAACAGTTAATCACTAAATCCTTGGTATTTACCTGAGATTTCCCACAAGGTGGGATGTGGCACAAAGCCGATTTTTAACATGGGGCATTTCAAGCATGTATGCTCTGGCAAAAATTCCCTGCAGGACCCACATACATGGGGTTGGGTGGCTGTCTATCTCCCCAGATGAGACTGCACATCGACATAGCCTCGTCCGAGTTCCTCACTGCCCGAAGGCAGAGAGTCAACAGAGTAAGAATAAATAGTTAAATCCTCTCCCTCAGTAAGAGAGAGTGCTGTTTAAATTGTCTTAGACCAGTCCATCTTGTAGGGGTGTTCAGCTACTCCACAACAAACTAGTGTTTACTTAATTACAAAAGTGAATGTTCTCAGATACAAAATGGCTGTTATAAAAAATATGATTTACCAAGCCAAAGTAATCTCTTCTTCAGACATAGTATTTTATAAGGAGCTAAGCAATATTAAACAAATTCTAATCAACAATATCTTCCCTAATCATGTCGCCAACAAACAAATAAAATTAGTCTTAACAAAATTTAGAAGTAATAACACAACAATCCCTGGATTCAACTAAAAGTAAACACAGTATTAACTTATTCTATCATAACCAGGTGCATCCCAATTATAAGCAGGATGAAAAAATAAATAAAAACAATTCACTGATACATATCACTCAATGATCTTAAATACCTAAGATTTATCATCTAGTATAAAAAGTTTAAAACATCTAATTTAAATCTTACCAACAACATGGGACATCAAAAATCCTCTCTGTGTAAAAATAATGATGTCTGTAAATTCTCATGCCCGCTGGGAGAGTGCATCTCCAAAAACCAGCATTAGATATTTACATCAGGCACACATGCACCACACTCACTTGACCTGTCAAAACTCAGTGCACACACCAAGTAACACATCATGAATGATCAAAATACAACTATTAGCATAAGACAAATACCAAAATATTCTACAGCACCCAATGCAAGAAAAGACTCAAAACTCTAGAAGTTATTATTATACAAAATAAACAGCCCACATTAAATATCATACCCTACAGAAGACGGTATCTTGAAGTGCATAGGATATAATTAATAGCTGCATATATTAGTATAAGAAAATATACAATGTGGTAGGAAGCAATGGTCACTCTTGAAATAATAATTATAGTAATATAGAATTTTGTTTATTTAAGCTTGTGTTTGTGTGAAAAGAGTCAGTTGAAGTTTGGAGCTGGGTGAAGTAGTTGACAAGCAGTTGCAGCCGCCAGCCATCACACAGAATGCTGCTGCTGCTACCACTGCTATGACCTTGTCACCATAACAACAGAGTTGCAGATCAGCCACCACGCAAAGGACTACTACTGCTACTGTTGCTGCCTTCACTGCCACCACTCAACATGTCCACTTGATGCTGCTGTATTAAGAGAGTCGGTCAAGAGAGTCAAGTGGAAGTCGAGAGACAGTCAAATCGAAGTAGCAGTTGATGAGAGAGAGAGAGAGGCAGTGAGAATAAAAGTGTCCACTTGCTGCTGTAATAAGGTTAATGCTTGCTAAGTGAATTAATTATGGCCACTACTAAGAACAAAACAGGTGAACCCAAAAGCTACTTCTCTCCTTTCAGAATTATTTGCAATATTTGTTTTTTTTTTCCTGGACTGTATTGCTTATACACTACTTTCTTGTAAAAAAATTCTATGACTTCTATTATTCTGTCTGTCACACCCTCTAAAATAGCCCCACATCTTGGGGAGAAGTGCAAACAGGTAATGGAGTACAAAATAAAGATTGCTGTTTGCCAGCCATTGCCATCGAGTGCACAGGGAGATCATCTCATCCTTACTTCTATGGCATCCTTCTGGAGGTGTCTTCTCACGAAAGTTGACTTTCCCAGACACCATGGCTTGGGACTCAGGGTTGGACATTGGGGATATCAATGCAGGACCGAACAGTGTGGAAAGGGAATTGTTAATGGAGTTACAAACAACCACGGAGGTCGAATGATGATGATGATGATGGTTTTACTCGGGTGTGTAGCTTAGTAGAATAAATTTTTATTCATTTTTTTTTTTTGGGGGAATTGTTGTTTTTTTTTTTACATAAAAATACCCCCACTATTTTAAAAACAATTTAAAGATTAAAATAACAAATTCTTATTTAATAAAATTATTGTTTTTTTGCATATCTTTTTCCTAAAGTTTTTATAGTTCATCAATTGGTTTGCGAAACAGAACGAAATGTAGAGTTGGCAAATCTTGACAAAATGTTAGCGATAACTTCAACAATACTAAATACTGTGACGATTTGCAACGCGTCAACATGTTGCAAAAATATTCTAGTATTTATATATTTCTTAATCACATCTATATTTATTTATTTATTTATTTATTTATTTAAAAATAAATCGAAAGGGGAGGTAACTCTTTTAAAACTTTTAAATAAATAAACGAACAAGACCAATACAACCGAGATAGACGTGAATATTTCTCTTCGTGATAAAGTCTTGAGTAATTCCCCTTTAAAAGGCAGCTAGGGGGAAATAAAAATCGAGGAAAACTGCTATAAATTGTATTTTAGGTTCCTTGATTAAGTTGTTGTGTAACATGTGCACAGATCTTTCAATTGATCCTGTTCAAGTAAGTAAAATAAAAAAAGAGACGGATACTGTATGTAATTTCTAATATTATTTCATATTTATGTAGTAGAAAGTTTATTTGTTCTCTTTTGATTGTCAGTAATCAGAATTAAATTCACCATCGTGAGAATAAATTGTTTTCACTCAGAGGCTGAAGTTATGTAAACATCGCAATAGCTGATATTATTAATGATAAATTTGTACCAAATTTATTCGTCTTTTTTTAAAATTATTTTTATTTAGATGAATGAAGTACTGTCGCTCATTTGAAATAAAATAAAATAAATCCTGATGATTATCATTATTATTACCGAGCTATTTTTGGTTTTTGATTACAAATAAAGTTTAAAAAAAAACAAAAAAAAAAACAACTTTTTTTTTTTATTAACTATGAATTATTCAGTTTTTCTGTTCATTTCATCGCAAACAATTTATAACAATGTCAGTAATTTTTTAAATATTATTTTTCATTTCGTTTTTTAAGGATTTTTAATATCTTTGTTATGCTAATTTACCTGAAACAAAATTTTAATTCTCCCCAAAATAAATTTTTTTTTTTTTTAATTCTCCCTTCCTTCATTGTACTCCGGTTGAGTTGACCTTTGCGATCGTCCCAAATGTGTGTGATTCGGTTGCACTAAATGTGCGCTCACCACGATAAACAAGCCAAAAAACAGAATTTATATTTTATTATTATTATTTTTAAATTGTAAACATTTCCTCAAATATCATCTGCACTTACGAAATGTGGATAACTCCCTGATTTTTGGTAATTTTTCTGGTTGAAGTTGCGAGACAATAAACAAATTTTGATTTTAATGTATAATTTCAAGAGTGACAAAAATTTAATGAATTAAAAAAAAACTTTGATAAAATCTATAAATTTTTGGGGATGAATTAATAATTATTTGCAATAAGTAACTTCGCATTATTATGGGTGAATTAATTAACAGAAAAGATTCACTTTCTAAAAATAATTTACCCTTATTTTTTTCTTCAATAATAGTACGATAAATTTCAAATAAGAAAAATTATGATTTAATGCATTTATTAATTATTTATTTAAATAAAAGATGATGTTTTTCATTCATTACTCTGTTTCATTTCAGTAAGTCAGTGTCTCTTAGCAATTAATAACGTTGGAACCATAGCAGTCTGTCTGGTGTCTTTAGCCTTCGTTGGTAACTACTTTGAATTCAAAACCGTGGAAAAGTAGAATATACATAATTTTCAGATAAAATAAAAGGTGCCCAATTTCATTTGAAAATTCGCCATCTTTATTTGATTCAAACTTTTTAAGTTAGTACTAATGAAATGGACTTATCAGTTAAGTATGTGCATCAGAGTTTTTATAGGAAACTATGTCACTTGCATACTTAAGAAATGGCAATCAGTTCTAGAAAAACCCTTTAAAATGTCAAGATAATTTCTATCTGAATTTATGGGATGTAAAGTTATAATTATTTACATTCAGACTAAAATCCCTATTTTATATATTATCACATTTTGCCGTCTGGCTTTTATCAGGGTTCTGTTGATCCAGATAAGCTTCAGGGAATTTTGAACAATTTAAACAATGGGTGTAAATTGTTCTTCTGCTGACAGTGTCTACAGATATCTTTTCTTGGTCTTACTCATTTTTTTTTTTTTTTTTAAGCTTTTCACCCCAAGCAAGGCGAGAAGCCACTAGGACGCAAGGGCTTACAGAAGATCAGATAGGAGTGATAGAAGAAAGGATGAGGAGAAGGGTAGTGGATAGATCAAAGCAACTGGTGATGTCAATTGACATTACATTTGAATAGCTGGAGATTATAGCTCTCAGGGAAACTGGAATAGGAGAATTCCACAGGCGAGACATGAAGCTATTGGAGTAGAAGAAACTGCTACATTTAGGAGTTTCGACAGTGAAAGGGTGAGAGCGGGATGCCAGCCTCGTAGGGCGCTTGAACTCATGAAGTCTGGGAACCAGCGAATGCAGCTCCTCGGAGCAATTGCCATGAAAGTATTTGTAAAACAGACAGAGAGAGGCGATTTTTGCCTGTGAGAAAGTGACTGTAGACAAGATGCCAGATGCCAATTATATTGCATATCTGCCTCTGGAGCCTATCAAGAACCCCGAGGCAAACAGAAGGGGCACCAGACCATATATGGCAGCAATACTCCATGCAAGGGCGAATTGTTGATTTGTAGATCTGGAGGATCAATTCCAAAGAGAAAAATTTCCTGGCGCGGCACAGGGAGCCAACTTTTCTTGCGGTGGACAAAGCAATTGACTCAATGTATTTGTTCCATCTCAGGTCAGCAGTCAACGTGAGACCAAGCAGCTGCAGGGAAGGATCTCTGTGGTGATTAATAGAGAGCAGTTTTGTTTTTGAGGCATTAAAGTTGACCAGCCAATTCCTGCCCCAGTTCACAACTGATTGGAGGTCCTTTTCAAGACGTATGGCCAGGTTAGTTTTGTCAGTGACACTAGATTTGTTTTTGAGGCAGGAATAAATTGTGATGTCATCTGCGTAGATCCCAACTTGGGAATTTATGGCATCAGGAAGGTCATTTATGTAGGTAAGGAATAGAGTGGGGCCTATCCTAGGCCCCACTCTATTCCTTGAGGAACACCTGCGTTCGTGGGATAGGAACTGGAGGAGAGTCCGTTGAGAACGACCTTCAATTCACGGTTTGACAGGAATGATTGTATTAGGTCAAACAATCGACCTGTAATGCCATAGCCCTGGAGCTTGCGAAGAAGGCCGGCATGCCAAACCCTATCAAACGCTTTGGAGATGTCTAGGGCCACGGCACAAGCTTCCCCATTATTTTGAAGAGCTTGGTAGACAGTTTCAGTGATGGCCGTAAGCACATCAGCTGTAGATCGCGCAAAGCGGAAGCCATATTGCTTGTCTGAGAGCAGATCATGAGATGTGAGGTGGTTAACCACTTCGGTATTGATTAGGGCTTCGAAGACTTTGCCGAAGAGGGGTAGGAGACTGATAGGATGGTAGTTAGAAGAGTCAGAGGGGTCGCCAGAGTTCTTGAAGACAGGAACAATCGAGAGGACTTCCAGCAGTCAGGAAAACAAGATTCCTTGAGTCAGTAGTTATATAGTTTAGAGAGGGTGGGCACCAGTTCAGGCGCGCATTTCTTCAAGACAATGGCTGGTATCCCATCTCCACTACGAGCCTTGTTGGGGTCTAAATTGGAGATAATGCCCAATACCAAAGACGGGGTTATGTGTAACCCACTCAATAGGGCCTCAGTTTTAAGAGGGAAGTCGGGTATGGGTACACCGGAAGAGTCGAGCGTTGAGTTGAATGAAAATTTCCAAGCAAAGCATTCAGCCTTGTTGGCAAAGGAGGTCAGGACTTCAAACTGGTTGAACAAAGGAGGTATAGAGGGTTTGCTATTGTTCAGTACACTCTTGCAGAGACGCCAATAATCTTTGGAGCCAAATTTGCGAGATGCAATACGCTCCTTCATCCGAGCAGCAAATAGTGACTTAGCTTCGTTGAGGATACGCTTACACTCATTATGGGCGGAGGCAAAGAGACGTCTATTGCAGTCCAACATGTCGCTACGAAATAGGTGAAAGAAGTGGTTCCTATGAGCAATGGTGGCTGAGCAAGCAGTGGAGAACCAAGGGGAGGAGCGCAACTTGACCCTATATTTCCTTGAGGGGAAAAGATCAAACCTCAGAAGCACATTCTTGGATAGGGAGCGTAAAGACAACATCCCAAGGAAACATCGCGGAGGAAATCACGGAACGCGTCCCAGTCAGCTCGTTGATAGTAGAACAAAGTTCTAGTGGTAGGAGGTTCTTTGCAGGGGGTGGAGTTGAAGGAGATGTTAACAGATACTACCGCATGACCAGAGTTACCAAGAGGGCAGAGTTGTGTGGTGCTACAGGACTCGGGGATGGAGGTAAAACACGGATCGAGACGAGAGGCTTTACCTTCCCGGTTGAAGGCAAAACAAGTGGGGAAGTTAACTATCTGCATGAGGGATTGAGAAACTGAAAAATTGAGCGTTTGAATGCCTGCATGGTCAGTAGTAGCATTCTTAAGCCACATGGTATGATGGGCGTTAAAGTCGCCAAACACAAATATGTGAGCAAACAGATGGAGAGAAAGAGAGCTTTGTCTATGTTGTCAGAAATGCTATCAAGTATCCCACAGTCATGATAGGATGGAGAACGGTAAAGGAAGAAGAGATAGCTTACTGCATTGAGAAGAGATAGTCGGAGACTTGTAGAAATAGTTTTCACAGTGGAGGCTTGTATTTCACTAAGTCGATCCCAAAAAAGGTTCGACGTACAAAATGTTAAGAACTTGAAATAATAGTTACTGACGCTGCAATCTAGTTGTGGTGGTTGATACTTTAATGTCCGACATCAACTGACTCACCAACTCACTCTGAGCCCACTGGCGACTGCTACTACTACTACTTATTATATCCGGGAGAGTCTATTTACAATAGAATAGGTATGTTCCGGTATAACAGAGACACATGTATGACTGGTCTGGTGATTCGAGAGACAACTCTCTGGCCAGAGGGAGATGGTCTTTGACATAGACACCAAGGCTGTGCATGTGGATTAGAGAGTCTTTTCTGAGGAGAGGAAGGTAGCCTGGGATCAAGAGATCATAGGAGGGGATAGACGAGATAAGGTTGGTCTCACAGAGAGCCAGTATATCCGGCAAGTTTGCAGTGAGGAAAGATTCCATACTGCGGAAGTTTGTTCTAATGCCACGGATGTTGGAGAACGAAATGTTGAGAGGTTTAGGTGATTTTTGAGTGGCTGGTTTAGGATTACTTTTTCGGTCTTTGTAAGTCATGTGGAATTTTAGTTGGAAGATGAGAAGGCCCGAAGTAAAAGATGCAGACAGTTATCGACCGTGACGTGGGCAGAGAGGAGTTGGCACAACCTGCATTATAATGTGGCCTCAGGGTTGCCCACCAGAGGTGACTGCAAGGACACCTTTCCATGTGCGACATGGCACTACAGAC